GGTCAGTATCATTTCATCTGGTCAGTTGGTCCAGGGGCCAACTGGATCCCATGACATCTTCAGGCCTCACTTTACACTCTTTAGATAAATTGTCTCTCAGTTTTCTGAAATTCTTTTCTAAATCTTTGTAACTATTTCTATCATCAGAAAGATATTTGGGCTTGACCTTGTTTGCTCTCAGGATGGTCTATAACTGTCCATCCTTAAAGAATACCACTGAAACTTTGAGAGTGATTGCAGTAAATCTGTGTGCTGATTTGGGTACTATGGACATTTTAACAATGTTAATTTTTTCAAAGCATGAAGAGGGTTTATAATTTTTTTTATTCTATTTCAGTGGTCACTTAAATTTTTCAATGTCCAAGTCTTTCCCCTCCTTTGTTAAATTTATTCCTGGGAACTTAATTGCTTTCTGATGCAATTAAAAATGGGTTTGTTTTATAATTATTTTTCTCTTAGTCCTTGGTCGTATATAGAAATGCAACTACTTTTTGAGGCTTAGGCATTTAAAAATACACCAGTGTTTTGTAATGACATTTTTTTCTACTTATAATGGTTCTTATTTATAAAATGAAAAGTTCTTGCTCCTGACCAGGTTTTGATTCCTGGCACCACCTATATAGTCCCCCAACCCAACTCTGCCAGAAGTGATTCCTGAGCCTAGAACCAGGATTAAGTCCTGAGCTCTAATGATGTGATCCAAAACCACTTCCCCCTAAAAAGACAATGCTAATTAAAGGTATAGTGAGATACAATGTACACTCCCAATTGTTAATATTATAAAACATCGGTGTAATATCCTTAAAGGAAATAAACATTACTGAAAACTACAGGGAACCACAAAAGATCTTAAATAGTGAAAATAATTCTGAGACAAAAAGTATCAATGTGACAAATTTCCTAACTTCAAACTATAATATAAACTAATATTGATAAAAAAAATAGTGTGTTATCTGAGGCCAAAGAGATTCTACAACAGGTAGGTTTTCCTCGTATACAGGTGATCCAGGCATGGTATTCTGCATACCAGGTGGTTTTCCAAGCTTGCCAGGAGTGATCTCTGAGTGAAAAGTCAAGTGTAACCCCTGAGAACCACTGGATGTGGTGCCCCTCTCCCCAAAAAATAAGTGTGGCAGTAGAATGCAGTAAGATATACGGATCAATGGAATGGAATTGGAGTTTCAAAATTGAATCCTCTTCTAGGAGGATTAATTTTTTTTCCAGGAAAGGATTTACTTTTGGAACTTTGATTCTATTCCATTAATCTGTACAGATAATTAATTTGCAAAGAAGGAACCATGAGCATAAAATGGAGACAGTTTCTTCAGTAAATGATGGGGAAACTGAATAGTCCTGTGCAAAGGAATAAAACTAGGTTACTGTCTCACACCATGTTCAAAGCTTAACTCAAAAGGATTGAAATATTTGGACATTAGACCCCAAACTGTAAAATACATGGAATAAAATAGAACAACTCTTTGATGTCTTCAGGAATATTATTACTAGAATGGCAAGGGAAACAAAAGAAACAAATGGCATGAGATTACAGAAAAATTTAAATTTTGCACAGTATTAGAAACTATTATTATAACAAAAAGACATCCTATTTAACAGGAGAAAATATTTGTATGATATCTTTGATATCTATGTTGAAATATTAATATCATATTTAAATACATATGTGGAATTCACAAAACTAAAAAAAAAAAAAAGAACCCCATAAAAAATTAGAGTAGCTGAACAGTCACTTCATCAAAGAAGACACATGAACGACACAAGCACATGAAACAAATATTTATTATTACGGTCAGTAAATGCATTTCAAAAGATATTGAGGAGGGCCTGTAACAAAAGACCAGAAACAAGAAGTGCTGGTGAAGGTGTGGAGAAAAAGGAATCCTCAGAAACTATAGCATGGAGATTTGTTCTAAATAGTAAAAATAAATTATCAATATTACCCAACAATGTCATTCCTGGTTATCTAGCCAAAGAACAGAAAAATACGAACTCAGTAAGATATATACAAATCTTTGTTCACTGCAGTATTATTTACGATAGCCAAGATATGGAAGCAACTCAAATACCTAAGGACAGATAAGTGCATCAAGAAAATGTGTTATATATACATAGTGAAATACTAATCATTTACTTTTTAAAAGATCTGCCTTTTGTGACATTAATGGACCTGGGTTCATGCTAGAATGAGAAAGGGAAATACCAGATGATCTCACTCATATGTGGGAGATTAAAAAACAAGCAAGATAAAGAAACAGGCAAAGTCAAATGAAAACAGACATTTGAACAAAGAACTGAGGTTACTAAAAGGACAGAAAAAAGGGACTGAATGGGTGGAGGGCGTCCTTGGACTGGTTAGAGCGATATTGGCACTTGTGTGGTGGGTGTGGTGGTGTGATAAGTTTTGAAGAGATATGAAACTGCACTCTTAAAAGCAACAATTCCTAAAATAATCTTGTAAACCAACATTATTACAATATATATGTAAACAACTCTTCTTCAAGCAAGCTACTCAGTTTTACTAAACACACACACGCACACACACACACTCACACTCTCAGTTTTTGGATCAATTTCAAGTCATCACATCTCCCTTAAATCTTTCCTCCTTAGAGCAGCCTTCTTAGGTAAGCTCATTCAAAATGTCTCTTGTGGAAAATACTGTTCTTGGAGATCTAATTCTTCTTTTATTAAGAAAATACCTAAAGTCTCATTTAATGCCTATACTTAGCCAAAATACTATTTACCATAAGATAGGGATATATCCAACTCCATAATTTAGACAGTTTTTATTATGCTCTTTACTCTCATACTGTCTTAACAGAGACCCATACAATGGATTATTCTATGATGTTCAAAGAGAAAATGAAATTAGAAGCACTGACATAGTTTTGATGATTTTTTGATATTCACAGTGTTTCCCAAATATAACCAATAGAAATGATTAGAGGTTGTCTGGCATAATTACTTCAAATGTTTCAGAAATATGTTATGTGTCGTCTTATTTCTTCAGGTTTTTTTAGATTAATAACTGCTCTAATAATCATTCAGCTTTATCATAAGCTTAATAGTTATAACATCTTTAGCTTTTAAAATTGTTCAATTTTACAAGCCCACCTCCTAGATAAAACCATCACTAAAATATCATGTAACAAATTAGTGTAGTTTGCAATATACTCTACTAGAAATATTTACTTGATATAACACTGTAGCACTGTCCTCCTGTTGTTCATCAATTTGCTCGAGCGGGCACCAGTAACATCTCACAACAAATTGTGAGACTTGTTGTTACTATTTTTGGCATATCGGATATGTCATGAGGAGCTTGCCAGGCTTTACCGTATATTACTTGATATATTTGATTTAAATAGATTAGATGTGAATCAGGCTTGTTTCACAAATTTTTTAAAAGTAGAAACTGTTAGTAGAGATTTAATAAGCCAAGAAATTAAGATTCAGAGACATTGAGTTAAATGCTTGAAGGGAAGCACTAAGTCGGCCGTCTGTTCCACGAGAGCTTTTATTGCATGTCATTTTTTTTCTATCAGTTTATCTGAACACCTCCCTTACAGAAATGACACTGTTCATTACTCCCAACCACGTGGGAGGCTCTCCCACAGCTTGAGACACAAGGATTTTCTAGTATCTGTAGAACATGCAGAAATCATTACATGGAAGTTCTGACACAAAATTAACCTGTGAGAATGATAGATGACACAAATAGTGTGGAGAGGCAACAATGACTAAAGAATGAAAGTTCCAAATACCAGCATAAAAATGAAAAGGAAAAGGAGTCCATTTTTCCTAGACAAACAGTTATGGTGAGGCATTTAAGGAGACTTGGAATTAGGCAAACAAGTAACTAGGATAATGCAGGGTGTCTGTTGCCAAGTAATGATGTTCTGAAGACACAGTGTTTTAAAGGTTCAAGCACAGAACAGAGACTCAGAAAAATAAGAACTGTGTCTTTCTTTTGCATTTGGATGGTTATTGGGAATTCTGAGTAAAAGTTTTGTTCAAGTTTTGATGAACCGATGCTCTATTAGAACAAATTTGTTGTCAAAAACAGGAAATAAGTGTGTTGTTCAATGCTACAGACATCAGCCACTGTGATTATTAAGAACGTGAGTGTGGTTTATACAGATTGAAATCTGCTCTCAGTATAAAATACAAAATTTCAAAGATTGATTTTAAAAATATGCAATGTGATCATATTATATTGAATACATGTTGGAAGTATGTTTAGATATATTCATCCAGTTTAAATATAATAGATAAAATTAATTTTACAGTTTTAACTTATTCTCGGCAAAGCCTGGCAAGCTCCCCGTGATGTATTCTATATGCCAAACACAGGAACAACAAGTCTCACAATGTTACTGGGCCCACTCAAGCAAATTGATGAACAACGGGAGGACAATGCTATAGTGCAGTGCTAACTTATTCTAATGTAGATTCTCAAAAATTATATATACATATATATGGTTTAATCTGTCGCATCTTATATTATGATGGGACAGCAGTGAGTGTTGATATAAACTATTTTTCAAAGTTTTAGTTTGAAAAGAAAAGATAGCCTTTGAATGTAAGTACTAGATCAAAGGGAAAGATTTTTAAACTCGTCTGTGCCCTCACCTACAAAAGGAGAGTTTGTGGGAAAGGTGAAGATAGAATGTTGAGTCTTTACTTTCAGAATGTGAGAAATGAAACCAGGAAGACAAGTTTATAGATGGAGAGGTAGGATTGCTCCAGAAACTGTCTCCTCCTCTGAAGTATGGTGAAAGGAGGCAGGAATAGAACTAAATTTAGATAAATTTTTGACTAAATTAAAAGATTTTTTAATTGAGGACTCTACTTTGGTGTCATAAGGAGGTTTTTTTGTGAAGAACTTGTTCATTAATGAATGAAGAAGACTCATCTAAAATTGATATAAAGATTCATTTAGACCTGAGTTCTCTCTTTGATATAATTTGTGTTATTTGTAGGAGAGTTTGACACGGTGCAGAGTCCCTCAACACCTATCAAAGATCTTGATGACAGAACTTGTAGGAGTTCTGGGTCAAAGTCCCGAGGAAGAGGCCGGAAAAATAATCCTTCCCCACCTCCTGACAGTGACCTAGAGGTATGCTGAGTTTATTGTTCGAGAAATGTTTGATGTTTTCTAGGATACAATGACATATTCTTTACCTTAAAGTTTCATAAGGTTTTAGACTAAAGAAAAATTATTTCATGAATTAAAGAAACCAACCTTATAAAGTTTACTATTTATTATTCAGAAGTTTGAAAGTTTATTACATTGGTGAAATTAAAAGTTCCTGCAAAATCATGTTTTATAAATTCTAGACCTGAGGTAATTGCATTTTTAATCCAAAGTAGCAGGTCTTCTTTAAATTTTTATTTTATTTTATTTTTGGTTTTTAATTTGGAGGGTGGGACACACCCATATATGATCAGAACTTTTCCTGGCTCTGTGATCAGTGATAAATCCTGATGGGCTTGAGGACCATATGTAGTGCTGGGGATTAAAGCTGGACTGGCCACATGCAAGGCAAGCACTCTGTCCTCTGTATTATCATGTTGGGCACAGTTATTTTAAAATAAAGCCATTCTTTGCAGAATAACTTTCTGAGAAAAAAACTATAGTTAATAATAATGAAGTAGTTAAAGGTATTTATGTAAATTAGTTTAAAAGATAGGCCAGAAAGATAGGTCAAATGAAGACATGAGGGGATAAAGTTCAGGGAATGAGGTTTTAGCATCTAGCTGACCCTGGTTCTTTCTTGGCATGGTATGTGGTTCCTCAAATATGACCAGGGTTCACCCCTGAGCACAGAGCCAGGAATAGCCACTGAGACACACCCAACCTCCCGAGCAAAGGTAAAAATCCTTATAAAATGGAGTAGTCATTAGTTTAAAAATAAGAATTAATTCTATTATTGATATAAAGTTAACATTTTTATACCTGTGGAAATGTCTGTATCATATTTTCTGGTTGTGAGCTCTTTTGAAACCCCCATATACTAAGAATTTTTCTTTCTTAAAATATCGAGGGGGAAAAAATATCGAGGGAGGGTAACCATTTAAATCCATGATGTTGCTTCTTATACAACTATATAATTTAAGAAAAAAAATTTAGATTTAGTAAAGTAGTATTTATTGTGTCTCTTCAGAAGAAATTATTTCCTTCATTTGAAAAACACTTGTAAATCTAAATGTATTTAAGACCCAGGTATAAATAAGTGAGTAGATTCAGAAAGCAGCCGAAGTCAGAGCTGAGGGTGCATGCTGGATATAATGAGGTCTGTCTGTCCCTACCCAGTGGGTTGCTACAACTTTCAGTTTCTCTGTTACCATCAGAACCCTGTCATGTCTGTGACATCTAATCCTGATATGTTGATCAGTTCTTTGAAATTTTTCAAAACACTGTACAAACCAACATTTTCATGGCCCTGGTTTCACACTTCGCATTTTTTGTTTAGAATGATTTACTCACTAAAGTTCTTTAAGTGCTTTTTAAATTTTCTTTCCATGAGTTTCAACATTTCCTGAATTCTTGATGTGCAAATGTTCAAAACTGGGTTTTAAGTACACTTGAAGTACAGATGTGTGTTTTGGTGTGTTAACTGTAAATAAATGTTTGGATGAATTGCTTTAAATTCAGGCCTCTAATATTGCTTGTTATTGCTTGCATTCTTTTTGCAAGTCAAGGTTTTCAGAGCATGGATCTTGCAACCAAGTTGAAAAGAGAATTAGTGAGCAACCTAATTTTTCAAAGGGTATCAAAAATACATCCAATAGGTGTTTTCTGATACTTTTATTTTCTCACAAATCAATAATTATTTGATGTTTATCTTTTGTCTTCAGCGTGTATTTGTCTGGGACTTGGATGAAACCATCATTGTTTTTCACTCACTACTTACAGGATCTTATGCTCAGAAGTATGGCAAGGTAAGGGATAAAGAATTTTAGATTCAAGAACTATTAGAATTTACTTCTATTCCAAATTCAAGAATCATGTAAAAATGCAGTTCAGTAGTATTATTGGAGCCTGTCAGATCTGCTTCTTAGTATTTTTTTCCCAGTGACTCCTTATTCTTTAATGCAAAGTGGCAAATTTTATAAAACTATTCAGGAGTTGAATTAATTTTTCTTCTTTTACAATGATTTTAAGTTTTCTACATCAAAACCAAACTTACTCTCCTATAATTTTAGAAAAACTATGTATATATTTGTAGATGGCATAAACTTTTACATGATTAAAAATGTTACCCTCTATAAAGGAACTTAAATAGTTTATAACATGAAAACTGTTTTTTGAAAATCATTATTACAAAAGTAATTAATAAAACATAAGTAAAATAAAAAGAGAAATGAAAAATAAAACAAATTATCTCCTAATCACAAAGAATAGATTTTGTTTGTTGCTACTGTTTCTGAGAATATTGTTTTACCACCAAGCAAAAATGCTTAGAGTTAAAAAATAAAGAAATGTTAACTGAATACTCTCCCTCACTTTCATACCACCTTTCACTATTGTACTATATCACACATCTATGGAGTAACATGGCCAACCAGAACGCAGGTCTTCTTGACATGCTGGCTATCTCTATCATTCTCAGTTTTGTCACCTTTCCCCCACAGCTTATAAAAGGAAGATTTCATAGAAGCATCATTTGAACTCCTAAATTTTCTGGCAAACTAACTTTGTGCTATTGAAAATAGAGGAAGAAACACTTTTAATAAATTATGCTCCCATTTATAATAAATAATATAGTGAATTTTCCTATAAAGTTGTTAACATTTTGTTGTTGCTGTTGTTCAGTTATCACCACAATATGCTCAAGCAGGATATCATGTTGTGGATATTCACCATATTGACCCATGAGGGATGTCTCCTATCTGTAAAGCCAGTGATGGTCTTTGTAGCTGAGTGCTAGTTAGCTCTTAGAGTTTTCAGCACAAAACCCTAAAATAGGAGTATGGGACCAGAGAGATAGTATAGGGGTTAGACACATGCCCAACCACAATTCAGTTCATAGTACGACATCATTTCCCAAGCACCACCAGGATAAATCTGATAGTCTTGCCTTCACAGCACCAGAACTATACCCTGGTCTCTAGCACTGAACCACTGACCCTGTTGACCAGTGTTGCTAAGAGTCACCTGCAAGTCCCCTGAGCATCAATGGGGAATCCTTGCCCAATGAAATTTAATATATTAATCAAGTGATCATTTGTAAATTTGGCAATAGATTAGACTAGTAAAAGATGCTTTATTTTATACCATATGAGGGTTATTCTTAGTTCCCAATTCATTGCTGATCTGTATTCTCTGGTAAGTTGCAGTTAATTCAATTTTATCGGAGAGTAATGAGGGAATTGGAGGAGAAAATGTTGCTGCAGGGATTTGGTTGAATTTGGACCCATGTGCTGTGAAGTCCCCATTCTTCAGTAGGATGCAAAGTTCATAGCACAAATCAAGGAGGAGACAGGCAGAAAAAATGAGTGATTGCTTTGTAATGTGTCCTTTTTGTGCAGATTCCAAAAATTGCTTGCCAATTTTAGAAAACACTACAGAGAGAGAGAGAGAGAGAGAGAGATAGATAAATAGATAGATAGATAGATAGATAGATAGACAGACAGACAGACAGACAGACAGGAAGATCTGGAGAAATAATCTGTGCATCAGGATAAATGAATTGGTTGCTTATAGTCTTTTGATGTTCTGATACCACCACCTAAGTGACCTTCCTTCTGCCATTGTTCCCATTTTCCCAACCATCGCCCAAGGCTGCCATTTTAGCAGCCACACAATAATTCGTTTATATTGTTACAACCAAATGGCTAGAAGAATTATCAAAAATATGTCAGTCAAAGAAAATTTGTGAAAATTGTTTATCTCACCATGGGGCTGTGGAGTCTTTGAGGATTTACTGGACTGTTTATCTCTAGTTGAGCCTTCTGAATCATTGTTTTTGTTTGTTGAGTTTAGTTGACTTCTACATTACTTTTTCATCTATTTCAGTGCCCCTACTGTAATTTCTGTACTATGGAGTTTGGAGGTGTCGTGATCCATCCACTTCAGGATCTATAAAACTGGGAATAGACTGCTAAGATTCTTTGTGAGACCATGTGGTTAAGTCATAGGCCATTGGTATTTCAGCAGTGGAGTGTGAGTGTGGCTACCGGGTCTGCAGCAGGCAAGGACTGACCCACCACCCTCCCAAGGGTGCCCTGAAGTTTTCAGCCAGGGGAGAGTCACTGGTCTGTCCATAAATTCTAGCTGCTTGGCTTTCATCTCCTTTCAGATTTAGGTCATGAATCTGAAGAGCAGGGATGGTAAGTGAGTCAACTTGGCAGCAGCTGTGGGACCTCCCCTGTGGACATTCTAGGCTTATTGTATTATGACACTGGGGGAAAATAGACTTGATCTCAGATGTGACTGACAGTGTGGAATGTCTATAGATTCTGTGAGACTCAATTACATTCTACAAAGTGGGGACAATAAGAAAATAATTTAGTTAGAAGGGCTAAATGTGTTGAAAACGCATTAGAACTTGGCATATTGCCTACCAGAGTAAACATTCAATAAACTTAGTTTATTTCATGTGGCTTTAAAGGCATCTGAGTTGGAGAGCTAAAAGAGAAAGAACCTGAATGTTTTTTAAGATAGGTTGTTTTATTTCATGTGAGGTCCTTATGCAAATGTTAAGAGGCAGATAATTTTAAGAGTATTTGTGATATACATTAAAACATGAAAGTAGAAATCACACTCAGATTTTTAGTATGTGTGATTGTGTACGTGTATATATGTGAATATACAGATAAAGTTTATACATATATAAAACTAAGGCAAGGTAAGGACATTACTCACACTCTGTTTTAGGTCATTTGTATCTATTGACTTCTCTCAATACTGTGTGCTATTTTTACTCTTTCATTGAACATGTTTATTTTAGAGGGGTTTTTTTAGTAGCATGAATAGTTCTAGGTGATATCATACATAACCAAATGTCTTTCTAGCTTTTAACTCCAACCTTACCAAGGTTTCTAATGCTGCCAGTGCACTAGAAAAGCGGGGGGGGGGGGGGGAATATTGGAAGGCATGACTCATTAATTATTTTGCAATTAATATACATGCAATTAGTTCCTTTAAGCATGCACTTTTGGGGCTGGAGAGAGCTCTCAGAGTGGTGAACATATATCTAACATATGTGAGCTTTTGTTTCTTTTTTGGGTACCACCTGCCCCCAGGGCATCACATGCCCCTTGGACACCTATGAGCCATTACATTTATGGTTGGCCAGCATTACTGGTCTGGCACTCCTGAAAGTGACCACTTTTTAATAATGACCCTGATTTTTTTTTAAATAAAGCACAGATTTCTAAAGGAACTTTTATAATCTTCCAAATTTTCACATTTTCTCAGTTTATGATCATTTAGTCTCAATTGTTGGAGAGATGGGGCAGGAAAAAATAGATCAGTGAAAATCTAATTATCAGATGATTAGCTTCCCTTAAATTTTCTTACATATGTACAATCTCTCTTTTTCCTACATTAATAACCCACTTACCTTTTCCATAGCCTTGCCTTAATTTACTTTTCTACCTGAGTCCTTGCCTACTGCTTGGGTCTGTTCATTAGCCTGGTCTGTCATTCCACTTCTAAGTCCTGTGATTTATACCTCATCCTCCTTGGCTAGACTCACCTGCTTGATTCTTTTCCCTTTCATATTGTGTTACTATTGTTGCTTTGCACTACTGCTTTAGTTCCTTTTGGAATATACTGATTCCATTATTGGTTTAATCTATCTGGTTGTTCCTGACTTACTGGACGGTTTTTTAATTGCACAGTGCAAGCTGCAGCTGGTACATAAATACATAATCCGCCTGGAGGATCCCTCATAACTTGCAGTTCAATCCCTGATGATTTACTGTTCATTTACAAATGTTTTTTTCAGGAGGGACTTGGGATTTTAATAGGTCCTTTTAATCCAGAACAAAAGTTAATTAGCATCTTTACCAGTTTCTCTGTAGGAAAACCTAAGAGAGCAACATCATTGATCTTTGGTCCATGAAGTTAATTCCTTTGGGAGAGGTGGGAAATGAACTCTTACTCCTGTCTCTGAGAAATTTCTAGAGGATCCTAGTTCCCAGGAAATTATACTGAGTCACTGTTTTACTCACTGACTCTCATCTTAAGAGTTTACAGGAAACATTCAGAGGTGGAACTCCAAGGGAAAACTGCTTCCTTTTTTTTCATTTTTTATAAATTTATTTATTGAATTACCGTGAGAGCAGTTACAAAGCTTTCGGGTTTAAGTCTCGGTCATACAATGAAACACCCATACCTTCACCAGTTCCCATTCTCCATCACCAAAAACCCCAGTATATCGCCATCCCACACCCTCCCCCCTTTCCCGTGGGGCAGATGATTTCCATATTACTCTCTCTCTACTTTGATCACATTCAATATTTTGACATCAGACCCACCGTTATTATTTGGGATTTTACCCCAACACTCAGATCTGCTGAAAAGGCAACAGTAGACAATTTGTTTTCTATTGCTGGTTAAGAATGACATATGATGCCGCATGGCTGCAGTAGTGGCCAAGAGATTTTGAACTTCCGAAATTTTAACACTTAAATCTAGAGGGATTTCTGCCAAAACCTGCTGGGTTCCGAGATTTGTTCCTGAGTCTCTGGGATCATGACTGTTAAGCAGCTTGATCGGGAGCCAGAAAGGCTGTTCATGGGCAACGACTCAGGGTCTCCTTGGGACAGGGAGGAAAGGGTCAGCTCCACCTCCATCCCAAGATGCCCTGCATGTCTCGTCACTGAGGGCCCAAACCTGACTGTCTAATGGCCTCTGGAGGATGGCAGCCACTGAGCCACCAAGGGGAAGCAGGTGGAACGACAGCACCTTTTCCCCCTGGGGTGGCCCGGCA